TGTGTTGTTTTTAGCCTTGGAGATTAAGAAAAATGTCAGCAGGCAGCAGCAGATGCAAGAGTTCTTGAAATTGAAACATTGTTTTAAAAGGCTATACCGTTAGCAGGCAAAGCAGCATTTTTATCAATCCTATTATAAGAAATTAATAGATCACCAAGGGTATAAAAGAAGAGTGACAGCAAACTGCCATCAACAGCCAGCAGCTCTAAAGAAAGAGAAAATCACTAGCTCTCATAGAAATCTCTAAGATCTCAGAGTAAGCACCATCTAAATGAAGGTATATGGCATTCTGAGCTAAAGTTCCTGATGAGAATTCAATGGAGGAAGGTGTTCCTGTCTGGAGGACAGCGGAGAAGGCAAAGAACATTCTGGAAGACTTATCCTGGCTGTAATTTCAAGCGATTAAGTTTTTTTTTTGTATTAATTTGGTTTATACAAGTGGAATTTATGTCTATTGGAACAGCATAACACTAGAACAAAAACAAAGTTGCTGGAAAAGCTCAGCAGGACTGGCAGCATCTGTGAAGGAAAAAACAGATGTTTCGGGTCCAGTGACCCTTCCTCAGAACTGATAGTGGCTGGGAAAACGTCAGTTTATATACAGAAAATAGGGAAGTGGGTGGGGTAGGGAGTAAATGATAGGATAGAGCCCAAAGAGAGAGAAAGACAGTTGGACAGACAGAGATTGCTAACGATCAGGCTGGGAGGGTGAATAGTTGTTAAATGGGGATTGTTAGTGACTAACAACAGCGGGTGTGTACTGGCAGGCTATGTGGTAACAAGGCCTGGTGTGTGGGGTAGGGGGCTGGGACATGGGAGAGTTTAGGCCCTAAAATGACTGAACTCAATATTGAGTCCGGAAGGCTGTAGGGTCCCCAAGCAGAAAATGAGGTGTTGTTCCTTCAGCTTGCATTGGGCTTCTCTGGAACACTGCAGCAAGCCAGAGACAGAGATGTTGGCCAGGGAGCAGGGTGGTGCGTTAAAGTGGCAGGCAACAGGTAGTTCAGGGTCTTTTTTTGTGAGCAGAAAGTAGATGTTCTGCGAAGCGGTTGCCAAGTCTACGCTTTGTTTCCCCGATGTACAGGAGACCACATTGTGAGCAGCGAATGCAGTAGACTGGTTTCTGGTAAGTGCAGGTGAAGTTGCTTCACCTGGAAGGTATGTTTGGGCCCTTGGATACTAGGGAGGGAGGAGGTAAATGGGCGGGTGTTGCACCTTCACCGGTTACAGGGGAAGGTCCCATAGGGCTGTGGGGAGGTGTTGGGGGTGAAGGAAGTGTAGACCAGGGTGTGCCGGAGGGAACGGTCCCTGTGGAAGGCGGACAAGGGAGGGGAGGGGAGTATGTGTCTGGTGGTGGCATCTTGCTGAAGGTGGCAGAAATGGTGTCTGATGATCTTCTGGATGTGGATGCTGGTGGGATGGTAGGTGAGGATAAGGGGAACCCTATCACTGTTGCGGGAGGGAAGAGAAGGGGTGAGGGTGGAAGTGTGGGAGATGGGTCGGACCTGATTGAGGGTCCTGTCGACAACGGAGCTGGGGAATCCTTGGTTGAGGAAGAAGGCAGACATGTCGGAGGCTCCCTTTTCAAAGTTGGCCTCATCTAGAATTTTGTTTTATTGGGGAATAGTTAGTAGTTAAGGTGGAATTGTTTGGTTTATTAGTAATTCTGTTTATTTATCTAACTCTAAAAGTGAACAAATTAATTGTTACTTGTTGATTATAGAGTGACTGTCAGGAATTCATTTTATTTAACCTCTCCTTTATAACAGATTGGGCATGTGAGAGGCAGATTATACCACTTTTCACATTGCCTTTAACAGACTATGAGGCAAAGCGAGCTTCTCTGGGTATTTCGGTTTTATTTATGGGGGGGGGGGCGGTGGTGTCGACCCCCACTTTGTAACAGTATAAATAAAACTTCTGTAGGAATAAATCCAACAAATAAAAAGACACCATACTAATTACGACAAATGTTAGTTAAAGCACACCTTTTCCTTGTGCACCAAATTCCCATGTAATCTCAATTTGCTCCTACACTGGTCTACATCTGTCAGTCTCCTGACTATGCATCGCTTATTGACTCTTCACTGCATACTGGTTTGTCCCGTATAGGTGGTGGGCTGGCTTTGGAGGGGCTGATTCATGTGTTGCTGAATTTCCAGTTTCTGACCTGTACTTGTAGCCATAGTATTTATATAGTTGGTTCAGTTAAGATTTTGGTCATTGGTAGCCCCAGAATGTTTGTTGTTGGGGATTCAGTAATGGTATTGTCATTTGAAACATTTTTTATTTATCTATGGAATTTTCGGAATCACTGGCAAGGTTCACGGGTTGTGCATTAATAGTCAACCACATCGCTATGGCACCAGAGTCATATATTAGTCATTATTAGTTATTCTCTGCTGGTTTTAAAAGGCTTCCCACTAATCTTCACCACATTGTATGTTTTTTCTTTGGCTCTTTTCCTGTCCCTGACTTCCTTTAACAACAATGGGTTGCGTCATCCTCCCCTTAGTATGTTTACATCTTTATGTAGCTGTAGGTAAGACCATGATTTTCTCTTACATTTCTGCAGGGCCATAGTTGAAAGTCTTCGACTCACCGAGTGATGTTTTCTGTTGGAAATGAATTGGAAACTTCAATTTTAATGGTTAATGACATGTTCCCAGAAGTAGGGAAACATTTGATTCAAAAAAATGCAGACTCGTCTTGTTTTCATTTGGAAAAATCCGGGCAGCCCACTGGAAGGGGGGAGAAAAAGCTCCCAGGCATGCAGAAATGGAGGAAATTGAGATAAACAGGTCCACTGGAGATTTTAAACAAAAACAGAAATTGCTGGAGGAGCTCAGCATCTGTGGAGAGAAAGCAGAGTTAACGTTTCGATATCAGCCCTGGAGATGTTTGCAGACACACACTGAGCACTGTGCCAGTTCGTGCTACTCTCCTGGTAGCTGTGATACTGTAGTGAGGAGAACCATAATGCACTTAAAAGTTGCTGTAAATATTCCGCAAAAGCGGAGGATTACAATCACAATTTGTCCTAGCCCAGGAAATTGTTCCGAGCAGCAGAGGACATTGCGAGGATTGAAAGGAGGGCTAAATATTAAAGTTTTCTGTTTCCCCTCGTAGTCTGCTAGTCTCTCCGCACCCACCCCAAAAGGCGGGCATCATTTAAGGATTTAAAAAATTTATATGTAAAACACAACACTGATGGTAGAGCAAGCCTTCCTTTGATAACAAACAAAACACTGGTGCCTTATAGGCGGTTATGCCTTTTAATTCCTCGATTCAGGTAAAGTCAGTGTTTCAGTTTGGATGCTATGGCAACCGAGCATTCTAAGCCTGTCACCGGAATATGTTACAGTGGACATTAATTCATCAAAATGCTTAACATACTGCGGGGGGGAGGCACATGATTTTTGAACAGCCAATAAGCTACTGCTGAGTACATTTCCTTGATAAATCCAGGCCTCAGCAGCACTCTTGTGTGAAATAGCCATGTGTACGTTTCTTCCTTTTGGAGATTGCAGATAAACCTCTCTCTGCCTCTGTGCAACCTCTAAATTATCGGTGATGGTCAGGAACGAGTTCTCCTTGAAGCAGAAAGTAGAGCTGATTCCCCAAAGCGAAAGCAAGAGCCAGAGTCAGCGGAAATCCTGCAAACCTACGAAGGCAACCGGGACACGGCTCGGAAAAGGTTGTGTGTTCGCATGGTTACCTCAGCCTGGTTCTGTACCGCTGGTTGCAGCAAGTCCGAGCCCAGGGGCTAGCGGTCAATAAATAGGCCCGTCATTCTGAAAGCAGCGCTGCACTTCGCCAAAGAGCTGGGCATCCCGCACTTTAAGGCTTCCAACAGCTGGCTCCGAAGTTTCCGCAGCCGCAACAACATCGGCTTTGAACGCTTTGGCGACCAGAGCACTGGGATCCGGCGAGCCACACCTTGTCCTGCAGCAATGCCGTCTAGAGGCGCTTTTAAACATTTTCAGTTCCGCTCTGATTGAGCGAGCAGGATTTTCCTGACTCTCTGAATGAATTGCAGCCCGCCGTCCTGAGCTTGAACAGGGCATTTGTTGGTTATAAAGAGCTGCCAGCAGGGTAAAGGGCGAGTTAACCTTTCAGGTGGGCACCCTCCACCTGAACACTAACTTGTTATTTGCACAGATGCTGCTGGACATAGACTCCCTGCAAGTGTGGAAGCAGGCCATTCAGTCCACATTGACACTCCAAAGAGCAGCCCATCCAGACCCACCCCACTACCTTATCCCTGTAACCCTTCATTTCCCATGGCTAACCCACCTAAGCCTGCATATCCCTGACACTACAGGCAATTTAGCATGGCCAGTCCACCTAACCTGCACATCTTTGGACTATGGGATGAAACTCATGCAGACACAGGGAGAATGTGAAAACTCCAGACAGACAGTTACCCGAGGCTGGAATCGAACCCAGGTCTCTGGCACTGTGAGGCAGCAGTGCTGACCACTGAGCTGTTGTGCCAATGTAGGAACAGCTGTAAAGCCATTTAAACCCATCAAGCCTGCTGCGCCATTCCAAAAGACCATGACTGATGTTGTTATGGTCTCCTCTCTGTCTCCTGTCTGCCAATACTACACCACCCAACCAATATTCCCTTGTTTATTAAAACTCTATCCACTGTACATTCAGCTTTGACAAATTCAGTGATCCAGCCTCCAGTGCCTTCTGATGTGGAGGTACCAGTGTCGGACTGGGATGGACAAAGTCGGGGTCACACGACACCAGGTTATAGTCCAACAGGTTTATTTGAAAACACAGCCTTTTGAGCACTGCTCCTTCATCTGTTGGACTATAACCTGGTGTCGTGCGACTTCTGACAGTGCCTCCTGAGGAAGAGAATTCTTTAGACTCTCTTAGAGAAGCTAAACAAATCCTCTTTGAGGGTTGCATATTTTAGGACGGTGGCCCAGTGGTTAGCACTGCTGCCTCACAACATCAGGGACCCGGGTTCAGTTCCACCCTCAGGCAACTGTCTAGGGGGAGGTCGCACATTCTCCCCATCCTCTGCATGGGTTTCCACTGGGTGCTTCGGTTTCATCCCACAGTCCAAAGTTGTGTAGGTTAGGTGGATTGGCCATGCTAAATTGTTCATAGTGTCCTGGGATATGCAGGCTAGGTGGATTAGCCATGGGAAATGAAGGGTTATAGGGCAGGAGGTTGGGTCTGTGTGAGATGTTCTTTTGCCTCGATGGACTGAATGGCCTGATTCCACACTGATGGGATTCTACGATTTCCAGGATATTTTGTTTTAGTAGCAGATTTCCAATATCTGCTCCCCTTTGCTTTTTGTTTGTAAAGGGCTGTTAGTGTTTTGCTTTCTATTATATTGTATAGCAGAAGTCTCAGTGTGGCATCTTGTTGGATTTGTACACTTGCTCTGCTTTCTGCAATCTCCAGTGTATGTGTACAATGCACAGTGTAAGAGTGCTGACTTTAGTTTCAGAAGATGCTCATGAAAGGAAGAATTTGGAGGCAGGTGTGATTGTACCTACTTTGGGCTCTTCTTTGAGATACATTTCCAAGAAAAGAACATACACTAAGGAATAGGTTGTTGAGGTTATCTTCTATGTTAGGGAATGGTTTATTTCATGACTGCCAAAGAGAAAGAAAGTAGACATTGTTGCTAGATATATTCCTTGCATTGTGTCCTTGACACCTCTTGTAGGTGTTTCTATGGTCTGGTATGAATCAATGCAAACATTTCCCTCTCCGTTTATATGTGATAAGCCTAAAGGGTTCAATATGTTTGAGCACAGCAATGTAGTGATTATGTTACTAGGCCTGCAATCGAGAGGGCCAGGCTGATGAGCTGGAGACATGAGTTCAAATCCTATCACTGGGAAAGGAAAAATGAATAAATTAAATGAATATGTAATGAAGAAGCAGCATCACTGATTATTGCCAGTTTGTCATAAAAACCCATCTCATTCACTAATGTTCTTTCAGGAAAGATCTTGCTGCCTAAATGTGGCTGATATTTAACCGCCACCTGAAATTGCTCGGCAAGTTCCTCCATTCCATTCCAGAGCATGGTTCACTACCAGTTCCTGAAGGCAATCAGGAATGTGTACTAAATGCTGCTGCCATGTACCATGAGTAATATTTCTTAAAAGGTGATCCTTTACCACATGGTCACCATCTATTTTGTTGTTTGCGTTGCTTTGGAAATGAGCTTTCGTTAAGATTGTAAGACATGGGAACTGAAGTCATCTATTGGTCCTATCGAGCTTGCTTCAGCATTCAATTAAATCATGGCTGATTTAATAGTCTTCACCTCCATGTTCCTGCCTTATCACCATAACCCTTGATTTCCTTTCTGTTTTAAAAATCAATCCATCCCAGTTTGAATATTCTTAATGACCTTGTGTTGACTGCTCTCTGTGATAAAGAATTCAACAGATTCACTGCTCCCACAGAATATATTTCTATTCATCTCTGTCTCAAACGGATGACCTCTTACTCTGAGATTATGCTCTCTGGTATTAAGTTCTTCCACAAGTGGGAATAACCTCTTGTCAAGTCCCCAAAAAATCCTTCATGCTTCAATAAATTCATAAAAGATATCCTCCTCATCATCCCTCAGTTCCCTTGCACCAGGTCTGGATTGACTGTTCTTTCCATTTTTGTCTCCATTGTGATTGATTTACTTCATTTTTGTTCTTTTCACAGACGTTTCAGGCAAAGTTGTCAGGACGTACCAGCTATTCTCCTGTGGTGCTGCCCTCATCTTCTCTGAATGCAGGTTCTCCTGTTTGGGTTGGGTCAGAAAACGAGGCAGTGCCTGGCCCGGCTGATCTCGCTGTGGCATCTGCTGAATGGTCTGCTACCTCAGCATCCAGCAACTGTCAGAGCATGGGAAAGGATTTGTATTCACCATCCAATGCTGTATCCACATCAACCAGCTCCAACTGCCAAAGCTCTGTCCATGAGCTCCCACAATGATTCTTAATCTTGGCATGTTCCTAAATGATCCTTGGAATTAGGGATAAGCAATAAATGACAGTGCCATCCACATCCCATGAGTGAATTTTTAGAAAGTCATACACCTCAACAACAACTTACTATTAACAGAGCATCTTTAACAGCGTAAAACATCCCAAGTTCTTGTGTTCAAGGCACTTCACAGGAGTGCTGTCAAACAAAGTTTAATGCTGAGCCATATTTGGAGATATTAGATGATTGAAATCTTGGTCAGAGAGGTAGTTAAAATGGAGCATTAGAGAGAGAGTGTGACAGTTTTGACAAGGGAATTCTAGAGCTTAGGGCTTTAGTAACTGCTGGAATGATGAGCTATGGAGGTGCGCAATAAGGCAGAAATAGAGGGACACACTGATGCCAGAGGGTGGTAGGATTGGAGGAGAATAGAGAGGCAAGGAGGGCCAAGGCCCTGGAAGGATTTGAAAAGATGGATGGTGATTTTAAAACTGAGGAGTTGCTGGGCTCTGAGCCACTAAATCAGTGGGCATGTGTGTGGTGGGTCATTAGGACAGGGATAGGAAACCAACCATAAGAACATTGTCAAATCCAGAGGTCACTGAATTGTGAACATATTGAATTGCATAATGACTGTCAGTCTCATTGAAGGTCTTGTGCCATGAACGTAGATATCATATCTGCCTGAATGGTCGAATAGTATTTACAGAGAAGCAGGACATAGCTGTTAACTAACCATGACTGATTATTCAACCTTTATTATCTGTCTTCCTATCTTTGCAATAAGATTTGGGCAGCACTGTGGCTCAATGGTTAGCACTGCTGCCTCAAAGCGCCAGGGACCCGGGTTCAATTCCACCCTCGTGCGACTGTCTGTGTGGAGTTTGTAAATTCTCCCTATGTCTGCATGGGTTTCCTCTGGGAGCTCTGGTTTCCACAGTCCAAAGATGTGCAGGTTAGGTGGGTTGGCTATGCTAAATTGCCCATAGTGTCCAAGGGTGTGTAATTAGGTGGATTAGATATGGAAAATGCCAAGGTATAGGGTAAAGCGTGGGAGAATGGGTCTGGGTGGGATGCTCTTTGGATGGGTGGTGTGGACTTGGTGGGCCGAATGGCCTGTTTCCACACTGTAGGGATTCTACGATTTCAAGCAAACAGCCAAATAAGATTTCTGAAGAAGGGTCTAGGCCCGAAACGCCAGCCCTCCTGCTCCTCCTTCCTGCTGCTTGGCGTGCTGTGTTCATCCAGCTCTACACCTTGTTATCTTAGCCAAATAAGATCTCCACCAAACCACTGATCTGAGAAAAAGGATCAAAAGGAGAAATAGGAATTGAAATGACAAGTACTTTGAAATTATCAGCAGGGGACATCAGGGTAATTGACTTTCTGGTATGGAAAATAAGCAACAGGTTGCATCCAATTAAAATGCATCACACAAATCCAAATGCATAAGAAATTGATAATCTCAGAATCAAGAGAATGATAATCACATGCTCTGCAACAATAGGCACTGCCTTGCTAACCTGTCTGAACCATGTAACCTGTTACATGGGCTATTTCTGTGGCTGTGATTTTCTTGCAGCTCCTTATCCTGGTTTATGTGGTCGAAGAATAGAATTGCCTCCGATGTTTAAATTTTATTTTTAATGTGCTGCCCATTGTCTTCTCGTTCTGTCCTCCTTTCCTCAGACCGCGAACTCATTTGGTGTAAACTCGTGTTGCCTTTTAGCCTGATAGTTCCTTACCTGGGTATGACCTTGGCCAGTATGTTCAACCCTAGGCTCAAGGAGTGGGTGTGTGTAATTAACTCACAACCGAACCAAATTGTCCTTCTAACATGTAGGTGCACACCACAACAGCACTGGTCCACACTGCTCCAATCGAATCAATCTGCCCTTGTTATGTAGTGGTAATGACACTACCTCTGAACCAGAAGGCCCATGTTCAAGTCCTACCTGCTCGAAAGGTGTGCCTGAACAGGTTAATTTAAAAATACCTATGCACATACATACAGTTGTCAGAGGCATCATCCTGACAGTGAATGTACTCACTGTACATGACAAGATGTGGAGATGAACATTTTAATAAAAAGACACAGTCTTGAGTTTTACTTTGCCAATAGTTTTGAATTTAAATAAAAGCACAACTACACTAAGTAAAGCAGAATTTCAATAGCTTACAGTTCTACAATGTTTATTGTGTACAGTGAGGTCTTATGAGTGCTTTGGATAGCAGTGGATAATTGTCTAAGTGGAGAAGGGGCAAGGGAGGAATGTTAGGATGAAGAAAAAATCCCTTCAAAGGGAAAGGTCTTTATTGTACTTTTGAAGGCAGGGACGAAGGTAGAAAGACAGCAATGCATAAGTAGGGAATGATTGAAGGAATGACTAACATGGAGTGGAGGGATAAAAGAGTGCAAAATAAAGTGGCATTGCTGACTGGAGGGTGTGTGCAGATGCAAGGCTGAAGGAAGTCACTTGACTTCATTTAATAGGGGACAGTTTAAAAATGCTAGCTTCATAATCTGTTCGAAAATTTAACATTCCAACGGCGCAGTTGTAGCTGTGCAGAGGTAGGTTGATTATCATTCTGACTCTGCTTCCATTTGGAGGAAATTCTCATTTCCTCCTTAATGACCCAGAGCTTATCTTCTATAAAGTCACATCTCATTTGCCTGTGGTGCTGTGTTATTTGGCTAACACTGTTACTTTACTGCTTTCTATTGATAAGTAACATTTTGCTTTTTATATGGAAGGAGGGTAGGGCGATGAGAGAATATCATTCCAGAATTGCTGTATATCCTTTCCTCTAATTGGCTAAAACTTGCCTTTGTTGTTGGATTGTAAAGCTGCATTGGGTAATCTAATGGCTTTCCCATTCAACAATCGATTGAAGTGAGGTAATAATATTGAAATTAATCTTTTCTGATTCCTTCCAGTGATTCAAATGATTATCACAAGAGTATTTCACAGCTAAAAACACTGGTAAGTTTACAAACCATTACTGTGTATCTTCCTTGCATTGTATTTGGGAAGTATAGCGTAATTGTGTAAGAGCAGGTCTGAAAACTGGACTTTAAGGACAGGCAAAAATTGTGACTGTGAAACGATCCTAAATAGAGAAATGTGGTTTTATTCCTTAAATTGTGAATTGCCTTTTTTTTTGATTTTTTGCTCATCACGTAGAAAAAGGTAGTGTGTGATATTGATACTTATTGCCTTGTTAGTGATTCGCTTTCTCACCTGTGGCACCAGCTAAAACAACTTGGTTGTTGATGACTTTAAGTCATGACTGATCCCCACCTCGACTGCTGTTAATCATCAATTTCACAAAAGTGAAAACTTGCAATTATATAACACCTTCCACATAGTAAAACAACTTTTAAGTTCTTGTTTCCTTTTAAAAGAGGCAGGTCCCAGGAGTGCTCCCAACAAAATTTAACGTCGGACCAGGTTTTGAGATTTTAGACAGGTGTTTGAAATCCTGGCCAAAGAGATGGTTTTTAAGGAATACTAAATAGAAAGACAGAATTCTGGCAAGGGAATTCTAGAGCTTAGCGCCTTAGCAACTGCTGGAGTTCAAAAAAAGAATGCAAAATAAAGTCAAAAGAAAAAAGAACAAAAGAGAAGTGTGGCACAGGAACAGGCCCTTCAGCCCTCCAAGCCTGTGCTGATCGTTATGTCCTGACTAAACTAAAAAGCAAACCTTCTGCCCTTATTCGGTCCATATCCCTCTATTCCCCCCACTATTCATGTAACCATCCAGATACCTTTTAAATGTCGCCAACATGCCTGCTTCCACCACCTCTGGCAGTGCATTCCAGGCTCCTACCACTCTCTGCATGAAAAACCTCCCTCGCACATCTCCCTTAAACTTTTGCCCACTCACCTTCAACCTGTGTCCCCTTGTAATTGAAACTTCAACCCTGGGAAAAAGCCTCTGACTATCCACCCTATCTATGCCTCTCATATTTTGAAGACTTCTATCAGGTCTCCTCTCAGCCGCCGTTTTTCCAGTGAAAACAATCCTAGTCTTTTTAATCTTTTCTCATAGCCAATGCCCTGGAGATCAGCCAACATCGTGGTGAACCTTCTCTGCACTCTCTCCATAGCTTCCATGTCCATGTGTGGTGACCAAAACTGCGCACAATACTCCAAATGCAGCCTAACACGGGTTTTATATAGCTGCAACATGTTTTGCCAACTCTCGTACTCCATGCCCTGGTCGATGAAAGCAAGCATGCCATATGTCTTCTTAATCACTTTGACCACTTGTGTTGCCACTTTTAGGGAACTGTGGACCTGTACACCTAGATCCAACTGAATATTAATATTCCTAAGGATGCTGCCATTTACATTGTAATTCACACCTAGATTTGATCCTCCAAAATGCATCACCTTACATTTGTCTGGATTAATCTCCATCTACCATTTCTGTGCCCAAGTCTCCAATCTATCTATATCCTGTTGTATCCTTTCACAGTCATCGGCACTATTAGCAACTCCACCAATCTTCGTGTCATCTGCAAACTTACTAATCAGACCATCCACATTTTCCTCCAGATCATCTGTATATACTACAAACAACAGAGGACCCAAGACTAATCCCTGTGGAACACCACTAGCTACCAGTCTCCATTCTGAAAAACACTCTTCCACCACTACCTCTGTCTCCTATGACCAAGCCAGTTTTGTATCCATCTAGCCAGCCCACCCTGAATCCCATGTGATTTTAGTTTTTGTACCAATCTGCCATGTGGGACTTTATCAAATGCCTTGTGAAAGTCCATAAAAACTACTTCCACAGCCTTTCACTCACCAATTATCTTTGTCACCTCTTCAAAAAATTCAATCAGGTTGGTGAGACATGATCTTCCCTGTACAAAACCATGCTGCCTGTCACTAATTAGTCCATTTTCTTCCAAATGTGCATATATCCTGTCTCTCAGTATCTTCTCCAAGAGCTTCCCCATCACAGACATCAGGCTCACCAGCCTATAATTTCCTGAATTATCCCTGCTTTCTTTCTTAAACAAGGGAACAACATTGGCTAATCTCCAGTCCTCTGGAACCTCGCCTTGGTCAAAGAGAATGTGAAGATATCTGCTAATACCCCAACTATTTCTTCCCTTGCTTCTTCCATAACCTGGGATAGATCCCATCTGGCCCTGGGGTCTTGTCTACCTTAATGCAATTTAGAATATCCAAAACTTCCTCCTTTAATATATTGACATTCTCTGGAGTATTCACACACTCATCCCTGACCTGAACATTAATCATGTTCTTCGCCTTGGTGAATACTGATACAAAGTATTCATTAAGGATCTCTCCCACTTCCTGTGGCTCCACGCATAACTTTCCTCCTTTGTCCTTGAGGGGGCCTACTTGCTACCTTCTTTCTTCTAATCAATGCATAAAAAGCCTTGGGATTCTCCTTGACCCTGTTTGCTAAAGACATTTCATGGCCCCTTTTAGCCTTCCTAATTCTGCGTTTAAGTTCCTTTCTAATTTCTCTATACTCCTCAAGGGCTTCATCAGTTTGTAGCTGCCTAGACCTATTGTATGCTTCCTTTTTCCTTCTGACTAAGTTTACAATTTCACTTGTTATCCATGGTTCCTGGATCCTGCTGTTGCTATCCTTCAGTTTTCCGGGTCATGCATGTCCTGCACTTTAATCAACTGGTCTTTAAAAGCTAGATTTGCCAGACGTAGATTTGCCCTTAAATAACTGCTCCCAATCCACATTCCCCAGTTTTTGTCTAATTTGGATGTAATTGCCCAATTAAACACCCTCACCCAAGGACCACTCTTGTCCTTGTCCATGACTACTCGAAATCTTATGGAGTTATGGTCACTAAGCCCGA